CATAAAAATAACAGTTTTTCAACTGTTATCAAAGCCCAATCAAACTTGATGTGAATTGTGAGAAGATGCCACCACCACCACGACACCACCAAGACAGCCACCAAACGAGAATGAGGAGAGTTTGCTAAGAATGAAAGACACACTCTAAAACTGTGAGAACTTAAATGAGAGAGGACGAAAGGAGGGGAGGCAACACTCGAAGAGAGGAGAAAGGGGATGTAGGGTTTGGGAATATGAAATACGGCAAGAGATAATGAGTTTTTGTAGAATAGGTCAAATTAAAATAAAACAGTCAAAGACTCTTATTTTTTGACAAAGGCACAGTTGAGAAAATTAAGAAACAGAGAAGTGCATGATGAGATACGTGAGGTGAGGTGCAGGGAGAAGCACTCCAATAGGAAATTATGGGTGTGCAACCATTTAAAGTCAAATCCATGATTATTGCCCCACAGGATATCGGTATATCATTAGAGCTGTCAAAATGGGTAACCCAGCTCGATCCAGCCCGGCTCACCACGGGTTGGTTACTTAGTGAGCCAACCTAACCCAGATCACTTATTAGCGAGTTGAAAAAATTCAAACCCGACCCGACCCACCACGGGTTGGTAGGTTAAATGGGTTGGCTCATTGGCTCATTTAATTATAAGTTTTTTAAAATAAAAAATTACAATTTTTTTTAATTCAAATATAAATAAACGTCACACTAAAATGATGTTAAACTCCAAAGACAATTCAAAATAAATAAATAAAAGTATCATACAATCCCAGCGTAATCCAAAAACATGTACAAAGGCAAACAAATAAGTTTTTAATGTTGATAATTTTTGTATGACTTGTCCATTTATAATATTCAAATCTTTAATAGATAAATCTATAATATTTTTCTCTCTTGAAACATCTTCTTTATCACCATCTACAATATAATAAAAAATGCTAACTAATAATATTAAAACACAAAATAATAAATAATTAAATTAAATTAGGTGGGTTGGTGAGCCAACCCGGCTCACTACGGGTTCAATCCGGTGAGCTGAGTTCTAAGTGAGCCTGATTGAAAACTAACCCGCATAAAAAAATTACATTTTTTTCAAACCCAACCCGGCTCAAACCCATGGTGAGCCAGGTTGGCTTGCGGATTACAACATATTTTTGACGGCATTATATATCATATTAGAAATGATTTATAAATGCGAGTAATATTTAAAAAAATGTTATTATAATACTTGTTTACAGTTATCATGGTTAAATGACAATTTTCATTTTTTTTATGTTACATTAAATTTATTATCATAAAGTGATATAATTAAATTACTTAATTGTAAAATTCGAAATACTATTTTCACTTAAAAAACTTCGGAAAATAACATAAAATGAATGAGCCATTTTATGTAAGAATTCAAATACAAAATGCCCCCAATTTTCAAGAGACCTGTGTTTTCCCAAGTAAGGAGTGTATTGCAACTTTGAGTTTGATTTGTGAAATTGTTTCGTAAATTTTATCCGTTTTGTCCTTTTTTTCCGGTTACCCAAGTTGACAAGAAACACAGCACTGTTAAATTCCTAAATTAGAGGGCTGTATAAAATTCTCAACCAAAGGAAAAATTTCCTAAAAAGGGAAAAAATAAATAAATGGTTATAGTTTCAACGGCAAACCATTTGTTAGGGAGAGGGTAAAAAATATTTCCCACTGCTGACCGTAATTTATGAGTCCCTTTACCTATTTTCTCTTTATTATTCTTTCTTTAGTTTTTCGATTTTCAGAATGATTTGTATGGACTGAACTCAAAAATCACATCAATATTTTCATTTCCCATCATCGATATTCTTCCTCTTTGTTCCGTAGCTTAGAACATAAGTTACACATACATTTATTTTCCTCGTTCATGGCAACAGACCACATTTTTCTTTAAATGTTTCAATTGAAGTTTGCAACAAACATGTCAACCCAGTTTGATTATTACCATGATCATTATAATAAGAACTTGTTTGGATATGGAATTGGCTAAAATGTCCCACATAAGAGTTTTCCATTGTAGGGTTGTGAGAAATGCATGCATGCATGCATAAAAACAGGACCTTGAAAGCATCGTATAGTTACAGAGATTAGAACCTAGTTTGAAGGAAAGAAAAATGGGGTTGAATTCAAGGGATATTCAACTTCGCTTGTCCAGAGTGCTTCATGTTTCAGCTGAGATTGGCTACAGTTTCATGAGAAAGCATCCATTGGTTTTGGGTGCTTTGTTGGTGTTCTTCCTGTTGTATATATTTCTCTCTTACATTTACAACCTGCTGGTTTTCTTGTCCCCATTTTTTGTGTGCATCGCCATTTTTGTTAGAATATTTTGGAGTTCTGAGCAAAACCAACATGAAGAAGATGTTAAAAAGGCAAAGGAGAAAAGGGTTGAAATAAAATCTCCGCCAAAAGTGATGAAGAATGAGAGACGTGGAATGCTGTATAAGTGTCCATCACATAATGCAACAAGTAGAAGAAGAAATTTCACTGGGAAGAGATTGGAGGTGTACGGTGGTTTGGAAATAAGAGCCAAGGATTTATCATCAGTGTTTCGTAATGAATTCACTATCTCTAACAGAGATTTTAGCAGAAAGTTTAAACTTTATGATGAAGACACAGGTTTTGATTTCTCGGAGGCTCCAGAAAAGCAAACACTATTGTCTGAACCTTTTATGCTGGACCCGGTGATTCATGGTGATCATGGCCAACAGAAAAAAACAGAAAACAAAGTGGATGTGGAAAAACCTCGATTAGAAGATGGCAACAAAAGTGTAGAACCGAAAGAGGATGATCAGAAGAATGCAATGGATCTTGGGACGTGTGCGTTTGAGAGACACAAAAGGCTAGAGAGTCTAATGGCAAGGAGAAAAGCAAGAAAACAATCGAAGTTGCAGATATCAAATGGTGTGATTGACATGAAATCCATGTCCTCAAATCAAATTGCTCCTTTGTTTATCACAAGACTCAACCATTTCGATTCTCTGAAAGAATTTGAGGGCATACAAATGCCTGGTTCTGCCCCATCTGCTTTGAGAAGCCCATTTGATATTCCATATGATCCTTTGGAGGAGAAACCCAATCTCACAGGGGACGGTTTTGATCAAGAACTGAAGAATTTGTTAACAGAACCAAGACAACAAGAAGACCTTGAAGCCAAAGAGCACACAATGTCAACAGAACCACACCCAATAGACGAAAGGCTTCAAGGTATAATATTTATGATCACTTTCTTTTTTTCTTTCCCCACATTGTCTCAATCATGATGAAACTTATGCACATTCCTACAGGTACTGGAGATAATGATCCACTCGAACAATTATCATCCGAAGAAGCCAGTGAATGTGAGTCCAAAGCTTTTGTTCCTTTAAGTGAAGAAGGAAAGGAAACAGCATGTGAAGAGAATGGAAAATGTGAAACTGAGAAAACTGTTGACATCAATGGTAAAGAGGTGGAAAATGCTGAAACAACAAACTCCAATTCAGAGCGTGCAAATGAGTCAGACATGATTCCAACAATAGATGATAATAGAGCTCAATTTTTAGAGAAGGTAGAAGAACCAACAGTTGCTAAGCCTGAAGAGGGTGACAACAATTTACCATTAACAAGTGCTAGTGCTACTAAAATAAATGACTCTTTGTATGAATCTCTTCCACCATCTGTTGAAAAGAACAAGCCAACATGTTTCAGTGGTGGCCCAATCCGTCACACCCCTTCATGTTCTTTGGCTTCTGACTTACAAGTGGAGGTTTCTGAAATCGGTTCACCTACACTGACGGTTGATGAGAACAACGACACCACCACAACCACTGACGGAGAATCGATTATTTATGATGGGGACATTGACAAGGATGTTACTTCTGGCAGTGAAGACATGTGGGGAGCCTCACTCCATTCAAGAGAAGTTCGTAGAGTAAGTGAGCAAGATATTTCGGAATTAAACAGCTGGAGGGACATTTCTTCACCTCTTTCTTTGCAAAACATAGATGAAGAAAATGCAGCAGATGTAAGCTCCATATCTTCTGACATACCTGATGACACTCCAACTTTTTCAATGACCCATGACCATAATAACATCTTTGGTGTGAAAGACTTTGTCATGGAACCTTCTCATTCTTCAGTTGTGGCAGCACGTTGGAAGCGGTTGATGCGATTGATGGATAATCGTGCTAACCATTCATCACAAGAAAAACCAAGGGTGAGTCAAATTTCCTGTTGTTTTATGTTGTCTTTGTGTTGTCTTTGTGTTGTTCATTTATCTTGGTTGTTCCAAACAGTTAACACAAACTATTTACCCATGGAAGATGTTCTTGTTTTTTCGTCATTTTAATGTTTGGTGTTGTTCAACAGGAAGTGTTCAACATCTCAGAGAATTCAAGTAAGGCACAAGTGACGAATGATGGGAATAACTCGACAACCTCTGAGCAAGATAACACGCATAACTCACAAGGTAATGAAGCGTTAAATTCAGACGTTCAACAAGAAATAACTGATGAAGTCTCCATGAACTCTAATTCATCATCTTCATCTTCATCTTCATCTTCAGGGGCAGAACCATAGACTGGGCAATTTAAAATATCATAGCTTGAAAAAGAACCATTAAATTTTGATACTAATGATGTATGTATGAAATTTAACATATTTTTTTCTAATGCACATATGTAATATATAATTTTATTGATCATGTGATACTAACTAACAAACGCGAGTAGTACATAAGTAAAATAACGATGGTGAATGACAAGATCATAGAAGAAAGTAGAAAAATAATAGCAGCATCATCTCAAAGCAAATAAAAAAAAAAACATCCTTTATTTTCGGAAGAGAGACTAAACCGGTAGTATATAACATCACCAATAAAGTACTTATCTTTTAATAATATCAATATCAATTTAGCGAATTTGTAAAGAATTTAAGAAAAGTCTAGAGTGAATAAACTCTAGAAGTTGGTGTCTTTGGTACAACATATTCGTAATATTGTTGTAATTCACATTCTAACAGAAGAGTATAAATGTCTCCCAAAATTATAAAATTACGTGTACCAATGGTTGAATATCAAGAAAAATAACAACTTGTTATTTCGTAAGTAAAAATTATATATTAATGAAAATTTATGAATTTAATTCTCACATTAGAATATTACAAGAATGAAAACTTATTAACCTAATTTCATAAGATTTTGAATTAAAACTTAATAATCTATTTTTTAAGATTTTGAAGCAAGTGTCAATCTCAATCTCTTATATAATTGAACTGATATTTTATTGGTAAAGTGTATTCAATAAACTCTTTTCCTAATAAACATAATATATATTAAGTTCTTTATTATTTAACTTTTTCTGGTTAGAGAAGATAAAAATCATAACAATTATTTTTTTTATGAAGATTATTAAACTTTCAGTTTTCTAGAACATTTTTTTCAATACTACTTTAAAGAGTTCAAAATTCAAACCGAACATTGTAACCAATGCTAAAGTCCCTTGCAAATGGAATTATTTCTAATGGAATTATTAATCAGAAATCATGGCTAAAGGCTGCTAGCTAGAAGTTGGTATATATATTTCTCAATGATGTTTTTATTGGGCCACAATTATGTCATTAAGGGTATTGTACCAATGATTATCATCAGTAAAGAAATAAATATGAAGGTCTATTGTAAAATATATTTTTTATAGTGATTTTATATCGATTGAAATTCATCAAGTATAGAAAGTGGTGCGGTAGTAGTATTGTAAATATGATAAGTTTTTCTATATCGGTTGGACGTAGATTATGTATTAAAAGTGGTGTGATGACAAAATTGTAATAGATTACAAATATTTTGTTAGCATAAAGTTGAAGAGAAGAAGTTTTGATGATGTCTCAAAGTCAAGTCTCAAGTGTTCTTGTTGCAAGAAGATCTTCATGAAGATCTGTCTTGTATTAAAGCTTTTGTAATTTAGTATATTTATATATATGATGTGGTTTATATTTGATTCTATGTATTGTTTATCTTAAGTTACATTAAAATTTGTTTTGAATCAGAAAACCTCATTTTATACTCAAGATAATCGATTATCAAATTATAATAATTGATTATCAGTTTATTAAATGCATAATCAATTACCATAAATGGATAATTGATTATCACACGTTAAATAGTTCACAACGAATTTTTTGAGTTATTCTTGAGTGAGATCTCTATAAATTAGATTGAGACTCTCATTCTAAACTACGAAATATGAAATACAAAATAAGTGTATTTCGGAAATTCTTATCTACAGTGTGCGGTGATAAATGTTCTAGGGTTTGTATAACCTTATGTTGTGGCTTTAAGAACTTGGCGTGTTGGAATAGAGCGAGAACTTTCACTAGGAGTGTGATTGAGTGTTGTTGTTGTTGCTGAGTTGAAAGTCTGTCATCCTTTGGGAAGATTCAAAGCAGGTGATCATCCTTCGTGAAACATTTTTAGGAGGTGTTCATCCCTTGTGGGTTTTAGGGGAAGTGAATTTCATCTCTTGGGGTAACAAGAGAGGTGTTGTAACCTTCAATTTGTTTATTTTCTTTGTGATTGTAACAATTTGTTGGTTTGTAGTAGTGAAGCCTGTTAATACCCAATTTCGTCCGGGTAGTTAAAAATATATATAGAGTTAAAAAGGGGTAATAAGATAAAATAAACGGGCAAAGATAAATTTAATACGAAGTCTCAAAAATGAATTTGTTCCGTTTTCCTTTTTATTATTTTTGTCCTTTTGTTTTTACTCGTTTCTATTCATTTTCTCTCCTATTTATATTTTATTTTGCTTTATTTTATTTTTATTTCATTTGGTTTTATTTTATTTTGTTTTTTTTCTCTTTTTTCTTTTTTTATGTTATTCCATTTTGCTTTTATTTTTATTTCCGTTTTTTAGGGTTTATTTTTATGTATTTTACTTTTTATTTTTATTTATTTATTTTTTTTATTTTATTATTACTATTTTTGTTGTTTTCCTTTTAATTTCGTTTTTATTTTTACTTTTATTTTTATTTTTTTTAAAAAAAATTCAAGAAAGGTTATTTTTTTTTTATGAAAAAATTTCCACTGCAATATTAAAAAAAAGAAGTGAAAGAAAAAAGCAAAGAGAAAGGTAAAATCCCAAGGTCAACTCTTTCCCTCCTCTGAAGCCACAGTGAATGTTTAGAAAGTGTTAGCGTGGTGGCAGCGTGGAAAAGTTACTTGTTTTTCTTGCTGAAATTCTTAAGCGGCAACAGCGGACATACATGGA